CACGTGTCCCGTTTATTTAAAGGTGGAGCTCCTGTTTTTGATCCTGAACTGGGAGAGCAGATCGGAACCGTTACAAGTGGTTGCATCTCGCCTTGCCTAAACGATAGCATCGCAATGGCTTATGTGGATAGTCGGAAAGCAAAGATTGGCACTACTTTGATGGTGGAAGTGATGAAGAAGAGGATTGAAACACGAGTGACAAGTCTGCCATTTGTGCCCAGTCATTATGCCAGCTAATTTATTTTGGACATTTACAAATGTTTTCTATTCTACCGTACTTCATTGATCTCATCAGAATGATAAGACTGGCTTGTCCACTTTTTACATTTTGACCTGCTTCTAACTTCTATGCACACTAAACGGATATTTAACGTGAGATTATTGCCTTCATTTCAACTTCAGCACTCATTAGTACACAACTTACACATGGGCAATCAGATTCAAAAGCAAGATATGGCTTTTTAATTAGCAATCTCAGAATAATGGGGAAGAGCTGAGAGATGCAAAGCCAAAGTCTCTTTAAAACGGGTATCCTAGTGGATATATGCTCACATATTGTAAGTTTCGAAACCATTATGATTAAGCTTTTCAGTCAGCCTAGGTTCAATTTTTCCCACAATTATACGTTTTTATTGAATTTTACATAACCGCGCTTCCCAAAAATGTGTTTACTCATCCAGAATGGACTACGCTTTCGACCTCGCCTAGGCCTCATCAAAACCCCCAACCTTTTGCAAGGCAAGGTTAAGGGAAATTCACTGGAATTGTATCACTGTGGTAAAAATTCAACTATCAGTCTCTAGTCGCTTTATGTGATTTAGGGTGACTAGAGATCTTATAGATTGGAACCTGCCTCCTAGATTTGCCCGCTTATTTGGGCTAACTTGGTCCAGACGACTCAAAACAGGACGAACAAAAGCCAAGTAGCTGAAGTTAAAATGGAAAGCACGGTTTTTCGGTGACGCTATTAGTAGGGACTGGATCTATCGCTACAGTGTAGGGAGGGAGCTAATCAGATACGCAAGTAAAATTCGAGGAGCAAATTATTCATTAATTGGCCAAACAAAGGCTTCAACAAAGGGACTTCCAAAAATCAAATGCTTCATATTATATCGTTTTGCGAATGAGAGGCAACGATAAGGATTGTGACTTCGGTGCGTTATTGAATTGGTGTTTATGTAGGATAATGAAAAATAAAATAGATTTATTTTAGAACAACTCCGTCTCCCAGTCAAACATGTCCCTTCCCTGTGTCCGGTGAATATGCGTTTTTGTATATGAGTAAAGTGAACACAGCAAACAGAGCTGCTGTACAAAAGAATGGCAACTAGATCAAATTCTGGAGCTTAAGATGAATTATTGGGATAAACTCGCTTTTATCTTCCTTTAGATTATAGGGCGAGTTTGTCTGATGTGTTTATGCGTATCGTGCGGAAAGTACTGATTTACATGGTGTTCTGATTTTCCAGCAATGTAAAAAGTTTAAATGTAATTAAGTCATTACACTTTAGTTACAAAATAAATCGCCTTAAACATTATGTACGAAGATAGGTCACTTTAGGCATTCAGCTGAAATATTTTATTGTTAGACACTATCTCTATCACTATTTACTTTGTTCGTCTTTAGCAATATTTATTGCTCGGTCGGGATGTATATCAAATATATTTTTAGTCTAAACCGAAGGATAGCCTTGATACATGAGCCTTTTTCTATGCGGGTTATTCACTAGTAATAAGAAAGTGTCGCCTCAATATATCGGATCAACTCTTAGAGAACCAAGGCGAGATATATCATAAGTCGTCTTATGATAGTAACGGAGATAATTTTAAATGATCTAAGTCTGGGTCACGCCTAACATTGGAGTAATATTAATTCGTAATCAAGCCTGTTTAGATCATGTGGCTTGTGCGACGTTCATAGTTTAAGCTAGAAACCAAACATAATTTAATCTTTTTTGAGAATTCATTGCGTGCTTAATAGGATTCTAAATGTATGTAGAATTGGTTTGTGGCCGGGGATAACACTGCAATTATTTTAAGAATAATAGTACATAGAAGTTGTTTGATCTTATTCTCGCAACTTGGTCATATTGGCAGGAAGATCTAGAGGAACGCACCTTGTCCGGAGTCCATAGTATGCATTATCATTTCCATTCATACCATGTACTCGGCACATTCTCAGACGTTTCGCTGGCATCGTCAGTGAGCCTCGTCATTCTTTGCACCACACTAGGACTCGTCAAAGAGACAAATTAAGTCGATCCTTTGACCAATTGTTTGCCTTTCTTCATTCATAACTTTTTTTCTAAACATATTCAGATTCCTGCGAATGCCTCTTAGATGAGCTTTGTCCATAGGATAAATAAAATACATACATCTATACAAGAAAGTCCGATTTTTCTCGTCTCGGCTTGGGAAAATTTGAGTTTTCTATTATTATAAATGCACTTTATGTACAGAACGAGATGCATAGTATGTAATCCATCCTCTCCGACTTGCCAGCATTTAGTAATATGCCCTCTTCTAGAGTAACATAATCCACTTTATTTATTATAAGATAAGAGTGCCATTAGAATTCTTGATGAATAGCGGGTTACACGTAGGCTATGACTAATTTCATTTTGCTAGATTTCGGTTTGATTTACCATAACGTTGTAGCTGACACGATACACAAATTTATTTATTCGGATATGAAGAAAACTTACCAAACTAACGTTTGCCATATCCGATTACAATTTTTACAATAATGTGAATATAATGCGTTAAGAAAAGTCACTGACTTATGCCTACATGAAGAAGGTAAAAATTACTCAGGTTATTTTATATGCATAATAAGGATTAAACGTGTTCATGTTTTCAAATCCACGAAAGAGAAAGCAATTCAATTGTATAATTCAAAGTAATGCGAAAAAAGCCTTATGCTTGTCATTGGTAATCAAGGCTTAGCGGCCCCATTTTTAATCATCATTCTGATTTCACAATGCCGGACACACATCTGGTTAAATTGACGAGTCTTTTGTGTTAACTCTGTTCCATAGACAAATTTGATGTTAATTTAATTAGGACCATGACCGAAACAACCCATTCGATCAACTGCATTTTATAGATTCTTTAAGGACTAATCCACCCTTAAATATATCAGTTAATTTTACCTAAT